CTAGCTCCATCAAGGCAATATCTTTTTCCATTCCCTTCCTTTTAGTCTGTGTGTGTCTTTTAATCTGAAGTGAGTCCTTTGTAGGCAGCATATATAGGGGTCTTGTTTTCTTATCCATTCAGCCACTCTATCTTTTGGGTGGAGCACTTAATTCTTTTCCCTTTGAGGTACTTGTCAGTAGAAATGTAGTTGTTACTATTCTTTATTCCAGTTTTTTCTTCTTAAAGAAATCCCTGTTTTCTTAAAGAAATACATGTTTTTTCTTCTTAAAGAAATCCCTCCAACATTTCCTGTAATATTGGCTTGGCGTTGATGAATTAACTTATTTTTGTCTGGGAAGCTCTATCTGTCCTTAAACTCTAAATGATAGCCTTGCTGGATAAAATATTTTTGGTTGTAGGTCCTGGGTTTTCATCACATTGAATATTTTGTGCCAAGCCCTTCTATTCTGCATAGTTTCTTTTGATAAATCAGCTGCCAGTCTTATGGGAGCTCCCTTGTAGGTAACTAACTGCTTTTATCTTGCTGGTTTTAAGATTCTCTCTTTGTATTTAACCACTGGCTTTTTAATTATGATGTGTCTTGGTGGGGGCTTCTTTGGGTTCATGATTTTTGGGACTCTCTGAGCTTCCTGGGGTTTTATGCCTATTTCTTTCACCAAGTTAGGGAAGTTTTCCATCATTATTTCTTCAAATAGCTCTTCAACATCTTGTTTTCCTTCAGATACACCAATGACATGGATATTTTTACCTTTAATAGTGTCTAATAGGCTCCTTAAATTATTACTATAGTCTTGGCTTCTTTTTTCTTGCCATTCTGATTGAGTGTCCTTGGCTTTCCCATCCTCTATATAGGTCATTTGATCCTCTTCTTTATTCACTTTGCTTATTCCATTTAATATACTTCTCATCTCAGATAATGTGTTCTTCATTTCTGATTATAATTTCCATTTTCATGTTTATGTTTTTTATCTCTTTTTGAAGTTCTCACTGAATTCATCTACACTTCCCCTAAGTTCATTGAGCATCTTTATAACTAGTGTTTTGAACTCTTTATCTGTTAGATTGCTTGACTCCAGTATTTCTGGATCTCTGTTCTGTTCTTTCTTTTGGTTTCTGCTTTTTTGTCTTCCCAATTTGGCTGCTTTTCTGTGTCTGTCTCTATGTACTAAGCAAAGCTCTTAAGTCTCCCAGTCTTATTAGTACAGCTTTGTGTGGTAGGTGTCCAGTGGCACAGTCCTGAGAGGGGTTCAGCTGCAGGCCAAGTTTAGCCCCAGACTGTGCCCCTCCAGGGCCACCTGTTAAGATTCAGCAAGCAATCCACAGATGCTGTGCTTGTAGTTGCCTCAAAAGGCCCCAATAGAAACCGAGACCAGCTGCCACCAGTGTAAGTCTAGGCGCTGCTCAGCAAGGGGCACCTGACTAAGTGAGGACACACCTGGATGTGGCTTGGGGCAGGGGCCCACGAGTTGAGGGAGGCAGGGTTTCATGGAATCCTCTGGGCAGAGTGACCTCTGTTATCCAGTTTGAAGACGTCTCCACTGGCGCTATGTCTGCTCGCTGGGAGCAGAGAGGGCTCAACAGAGGACCAATGGATACCACCAGCACTTCTGTACAGAGTGAGTCTCACCTTGGCCCTCACTCTGACAACTCAGTGTCCCCTTGTAAGTCTCTGGTGCCCACCCTGTGCAGCCAAACCTGCACTGGTGCTCACAGTGAGCAGGTCTGTCACTGGTAAAGTCCACTCACAGACACGGCCCCTTTAAGAGGCATCTGCAGCTGCTGCCGCCTCTGTCCCACTCAGCCACTGGGGACCAGGCAGCCTGGCATTAGCTCTACATTTATTATAGGTGGCCTTTATTATTTGAGATATGTTACTTCTATTCCCACTTTGCTGAGATCTCGTTGGCTACAAGGGTCTCTCCTTTGATTTTTTGTTTGTTTGTTTGTTTGTTTAAGGCTTTTTTAAATTTAATTTTATTATTAGTTTCAAGTCTTGCCCCATCCTACCTTCTGCCATTGCAGGTGATTTCTTAGACTTCTCCCTAGTTTTACGGCTTGTTCATCTAGATCCCAGGTGATTTTCCTTGCTGTTTGCTTCTTGCTTCTGTCACAACTCTGATTTGGTCTCCAGAGGGATGAACAGAGCCTCTATTATCTACACCATTTTTTTGTCTCCTTTGTTTTTAATGTTCTGAAGTTTCACTGTGATTGGTGTATGAAATTTTTAATCTTGCTTGTTATCTTGTTTGTGATTCCTAAATCTAAGGATTCATCTCTTTCAAAAAAAAATCCGAAAAAATACCACCCATTTTCTCTTTGAACATATCTTCCATATTTGTTCTATTTTTCCTCCAGAAATACCAAATAGGTGTATATTAGATTCTCTTATTCTAGACTCCATGTCTTTTTAACTGTTTATTTTCCAGCTTTTATCTTTCTGTGCTTCTGAGAAATTTTTTCTGATAAATTTTCCAGTGCAATAATTTTCTCCAGCTGTTCAAGTCATAAATTTCAACGATGGTATTTTTCATGTCTAGAATTTCTATTTGGTTTTGACTAAAACCTTATTCTTATTTTCCAAATGTTTCCCAGAGTTTTGACTTCTTCTTTTACATCTTTGATAATTTCAAACATGCTTACTTTATAAATGTTATCAGATACTCTGTCATCTGATTTTTTTTTTTAGAAATATACGACTGCTTTTTGTGTGTGTGCATGTTTGTCTGCTGACTCATACTTGGTAGATTATTTCCTCATATGTTCTAGAATTCTGGATTGTGAACTTAAATTTATCAGTCTTGTCTGTAGATACCTATGTAGACTTGGGTGGGAGTGTGTCCCTCCAGATAATTTTTATATTTGTTTCTGCCAGATATTACAGGTATCCCTCCTCCCAGATCATTTTTATGTTAATTTCTTGATGTTTGATTCCCATGATTATGTGGGTAAGGTAAATTTGAACCCCAAATATTGTTCGAAAGAAATTTACAGGGATTTTTTTTTTTTTTTCAATTAATAGCCTAGACCAAGACACATAGGCTTGCTTTGTTGTTTCTCAAGGCTGGCAAATGAGTTTTTCACTAATTCACCTTTTTATTGAGGATGTAGCTCTTCAAGGGTTACAGACTTTATGCAGGCATCTCAGTTCTGATTCCCTGCTCCACATGGGGCCAAGATCTCACATATCCCATACTAGTGTTAAATGTTAAAACTCAAGCTCTTGGGTCCAAAACTCCTACCAAGAAAGCTATAGCTTTAGCTTATCTAAAATCTAATTTAGTTGTTTTTTGGGTTTTTTTGGTTTTTTTTTTTTTTGGTTTGGGGAGTTGGTGTTTTTAGACCTATGAATTGCTGGAGACTTTGGTCTTTGAAAATTCCCTGCCTCTCTTAGAAATTCAAGTAAATATTTAAAAGGGTGTTTGTTTAATCCAACATTTTCAGGTATTTTGGAGTGGGAAGTTTTAGTTTTCAAAATGGCGGTGTTTTTTTTTTCTATTTTGAATGCACTAAATGAAAGTTCTAAATAGGAGCTAGAATATCCTAAAGCAAAAAACAGGAGCATTTTAAGATATGAGAAATTAATGTGTTATGAAAAGATTAAGGTAATGATCATTAATTTGATTTAGGGAGTAATAAGTACATCAAATTAATGGTTCATAAAGACTTTTATGCTAGAAGTCTTGTGTCTCTAGGTTTTATTAACAGATTTGTGCTTCTTTTTCCATTAAGGAAATTTCATTCTTCCTCTGACAGCCAACCTGCTAGAGCATCTCCAGATTCACAGCTTGCTCAGATCATGGAGCAACATCAGCAAGCCTTATTGCAACTGACTGAGGTGCAGCCCAGTGAAGGGGCTTTATCCAGTGTCACATTTCCACCCATATTATCAAGGGTAGAAAGTGAATCCCAACTCAGTTCAGAGAGAATTCAAAGAAAGCAAATGAAAATTAGTCGTAGTAATTCTGAAGGCTATCTGTTTCAACTGGAAAAAGGAAAAAAACATAGGAAAAGAAGCAGCATTAAGGTAATAAAAGTAACCTCTTGTTTTGATAATACAGTACAGATGAACCTTGATTTTCATTCCCATTATTTTAGCCCTGGAGGAAGGATGGTCACTACTAAGCTGCTGCCACAACTGGGTAGCCCAAGTCCTGAGGAACATCTTTACCTGAGCCCTTGCTATTGCCTGAAATTTCCCTCTTCTTCTTCCTGGAAGTGCTGCATGGATACCATTTCTACCTCCTTCTTGTTTCATCTCAGGGAAGGGTCTACATTTGCTGAGAGGCACTAGTCATCCTTTTGGCATCAGTTTAAATATCATACCCTCGGAAAAGCTCCCCACACCCCATCTCACCCCCAAGTCTAGGCTGAGTCTCCACGTACATTCATATAGAGAGCAGAGGGAGAAGAAGAGAAATTAGGGTTGAGTGAGTGAAAACCACTGTTGCCACTGCATGTCTCCCACCATCCACCGCTTTCCCTCCTCCCCTCAAGAACTCTTCTTGGCCCTATGTCACCTCAGCTCCTGCAGTAAAATGTTCAGGATAGCCGATGACTGAGCTTTCTTCTGAAATATTTGCTAGTCTTTACTGAGTTCTTTGTTTACCCTAAGATTCACCATTATTAGCTCCTTTGTGCACTGAAATATTTCCAGTTGTGTCTATATTGTTAAATAAGGGAAATTGCTGGGGAGAGATGGCAAAGTGGAAGGTTTCTAGGAAGAAAGGGAGGGGCATCGAAGGAGGCTTTTTATGTCCTTTATATTTCTCCACTGTGACAAGCAATAAAAATCCCTTGGGAAAGATCACTTGCTTATAGTGTCACACAGTAAGGAAATATCTGTAAAATACATTCATTTTACAGGGCAACAGGGAAAGACCTGGTTGGGAATAGGCCTGTTTTGAGTTGGGTACCCTGGGAACAGACACTGAAATGGAAATTTTTATGCATGAGGGTTATTGAGGAGTGAGCAGGCCTGGGCAGGGGGAGAAGGTGCACTGTTGTAAAGATGCAAAAGATGCCTCATTCAAACTCAAAAGAGTTCTAAAGTTGGGATGGCCTTCAAAGGCAAGGAACCTAGGCTTTTGTTGCCCCACATGGACCAGCCATTGGCTATTGACTGCCCCTGAGGAAGGATTGTAACTTTGGGCATAACAGCTCCATTTGGCCAAGGGCAGTTCTTAGGGAGGGACTCAGCTGTGAGCCATAGCAGACAACACTCTCAGCAACTGAGGGAATGAGGGGCCTTGGACCAGAGGGACACCCACCATAAGGCAGTTTTAGGGAATCATCCTTACTTCAATTTGACATATATTTGTTGAATAACCGCTAGAAATTGTAGTAGGTGCTGGGATGTAAAGAAAATGAGCTATGACCCTTCCCCAACAGAAGTTTACAGTTAAATGGAACTAGGGAATACACATATGTAAATGGCTTTAGTATAATGTTTTAAACAAATTTTTTAAGGGAGAGAAATGTATGGGGAATACAGAGGAACACAAAGGACACATCTCAACCTGTGGGTCAAGCAGAGCTTCAGGACTTAATTGTGAGCTGAGTCTTAGAGGGTGGCCAAGAGTTAGCAAAAGAAAAAAGACTGAAAGAGAATTTCAAGCACATGGACCAGCATGAGGAAGCTTGACACCATGACACATGCTAGGAACTGACAGCATTTCAGTGTTGCTGTCATTGAAACTGGGAGGCACAGCATGGCAAGAGATGTACAGAAGTAGATAGGGGCTTACATGGACCTTGTTTATTATTTGAAGAAGGAGAACTTTATTCTGTGGTGGGGGTAAACACACAACTGAAGAATGTTAACCGTGATTAGATTTGCATGCAGGGCAGATGCAAAGCATTCAAGGAAGTTAGGGGGGTATGAAGTCACTGGACCCTCAGGTGGGACTCTCAGAGAAAAAGAAAAGTGTGGCCTTGAAAAAAAAGGGGGGAAGTTGGACTAGAATAGATGGTGGATCATATTAAAGAGAAGAAGAGGAGGACTGGCTTGGACTGAGATAAGACCTCAGAGGTTGATGGACAGGAAACACACAGCCCACTCCTGTAGTTCCCACCATGGAGGCCTGTGCAGCCCAGGTCTTCAGCTCCCTCACGGCCCTGGAGTCCCTACCGCAGCTCCCTCACATATCATACCTGAGAGCTCTTTTAACTTCTCATTCTGACTCCACTCTCTCATATCCTCTATTCCACTGGGGTCCCTAATCCAGACCCAGGCTGTGGAAACCACGACTAGTGGCATGGAGCTGGGATGATCTCCAGTTTCTCTGTAAATTAGAAGAAATGTGTTTCTGGGATCACAGGTAACTTCTTTTTCCACAGAAATATCATTACATGGTAGGTTCTGAGGTACCATCAATACCATTTTCAAGTACTTCATAAGTTTTGTACACTAAACAAGGAAGCCAGACACTATGCACACTATTATTTCTATAGCGAAATGTATGCAGAGCACTGGGGCCAACACATTCTCAAGGTGGGAATGGCCTGTTCACTCTGGAGCTTACATGTCCCCAGGGCCTAAAATATAGCTCAAATACACTACCTCAGGAAAAACCTTCAGAGTTAGGATTCTTGCCAACTATGGATTATTGTTGAAAATGCAAGCTTTTAAGTTCAGTACTTAGTGAGCAGGGTTTAGTGGAAGTCATGGACTCAGTCATTTCTAAGTTTTCATCTCTGCTCTATCCCCTAATACCTGTGTGACTTGGCAAGTTATTAACTCACTTGAATCCCAATTTCTTCAGATACAATATCGGAGTTTTTCTTTATGTAGATTTAGTATGATAATTAAGTGAAATAATGTATTATAGCCTTAGCTTAGTCCCTAGTAAAGTCCAAACATCAACTAAATGTTCATTTCCTTTCCCTTCCTCCTTCTCTTAGTAATTTGCATTCATGTTTTACTGAGAAAAGGTAGAGGAAAGTACCCTGGTGACAGTGTGTATCACCAGAAATCTAAGAGCATGGGAGAGTAGACAAGAGGAAGAAAGAAAACTTCCAATTATTGCTTCCCAAAACCTCTTTCCAACTTGAAAAATTCTTACCTTCCTCCCTTCTTTAGGAATGTTACAACTCATACATATCCATTTTCTTCATCCAACACCTTCAAGCTACATCTGACAAATACACAGAAGTCTTCTTTGTCCTTTAAACTATTCCAGAAGCTAAAGTGATTTAGCACTGAGCCATTTGTATAGGACAGCAGGTAGCCAGGGCACCAGACAGAAGGAATCATTATTCAGGTCATGCCCATTTGCTAGTCAGCAAATATTGTGGTTTCCAAGAGAATCTATTTGAATGACATTAAAAATTTGAGGATTTGTAAAGATAATAGGCCCAAGCACCATTGTTCTTCTCAGTCTCAGTTCTATTGTGACTGATTTATGAATACTAAGCATTGTCCATGCCATTAAATCCAGAGTCAGGCAATAAGAGATTAACATGGTGCAAGGGATGACAAACAGTATAAAAATATCTATTGCAACCCACCATAAAATAACTGCTTAAGGAGTTCTCTGACAGCTAACTGTGTTGAGCTGAGCTGCAGTAATTAACTCATGTGTTTGTTGTCACAGACAATCTGGGTATTGCTGCTTGACTGCTTCTAAGAAGAGGTTTATTTGGATTAAGTTTAGCAACCGCAGAGCAAATTTCCTTCACTTGCTGTTCTCCAGTATTTGAGACATTGTCTTTTTGTCTTGTTTTTCAGTAACTTTCTCACATTTACACATCTGAGGAATGTTCTGGAGAAAAGCCCTGCAGTGTCCCTCACAGCAGGGCACAACATTTCAGAGTTGAAACATGTCCTCAGAGACAGTCAATGTCAATTTCAGTTCAGGCACACTTTGCAAGTTTACAATAAAAATCACTCTTCTGGCTTGTGAGAAGTGTCATTAATTACTGGCAGAAACCTTCCATCAGAAAAGTCCAACACCATCCTTCAGTAAAGAGATCAATGGTGAGCACAGTTCAGAGGGGCAGTTCTGGTCTTAGCAATCATCAGCCAGAGCCAGGGTGAGCATGTTAGCAAATACAGCTGCAAATCATCAGGGATTTGTTGAGAACATGCCTATATTCCCCCACTGTGTTTAGAGACCTAACAGGACTATCGTTGTTGATTTTTTTTTTTTTTTTTTTTTTTTTGGCATTGGGCTGTTGTGACCTTTTAGTAGTATAACAGCCAAGGAGAAGTAAATCAAAGTAAATTCTAGGAATTAATTTACTTTAAAAGCCTTTCGAAGAGACAGAAAGTAGATTAGTGGTTGCCTAGGGCTGGAGGTGGAGGTGAAGAGAAGCTACTGCTAATGGGTATGGGGTTTCCTTTTAGGGTGATGAAATTGTTTTAAAATTGGATTGTGATGATGTTTGCACAACTTGATGAATATACTAAATAACCATTGAATTGCACAACTTCAAATGGGTGAATTTTGTGGTATATGAAATACCTCAGTAAAGCTCTTAGAAAGACTTATGATGGAAAGAGATCAAACAAACTTGCAGTGCTGTGAACCAATCAAGATTACTTGAGCCAAAATTAAGTAAATCCAGGATTTTTCATTGCCAGTCAACCAGAACAAATTCTGTTAGGAGCTATCACTCTCCCTTGAGAAACGTCTCTTTGCTAGAAGCAGCTTATCCTGTAAAGGGGTCAGTGTCATTTGGAGATAGTCCCTTTGAGCCACCCTCTTTCCTTCGTTTCAATATGTAATGCTAGACCCTTGGCTGTTTTTCTGTGACAGCCAAGACGTTTATTCAAGGTGATAGTTAGAACTGCAACTGGGGAGCAGTGAGCAATTATTCATGCTTCACAATGTATCTTTTGTGAGTCAGTGCAATGATTAAAGTTAAGCTGCTTCAGACTAAGGATGTGATTTCTGGGCACCAATCATTTATTTTTCATCGGTTTTGGACAAATTGGATTTATGACTTAGATATGAGTAGAGTTCTCTCCTTTTCGTTATTAGTTTACTTTGGCAAATAGTAACTTAGTGATTGCAAAACAATGGTACAGATGGCATATGTCAGATAAAGAACAAATTTGTAATTGCAAAATATGTCTGGGTTCATTCACCTATTAAAAATTAGCAAAGGTTTTAAAATGTGATACTATCCAGTGTAATGCAGGTTTAGACAAAAAGAGCATTCTTATACATTGTTAATAGAAGTGTTCATTAATAACCTTAAATGTTCATGATTTTGTCTCCATCTCACTTCTCAATTTGTCTCAAAAAGTTATCAGAGTGCTCATCCCTACATCTTAAGTGTTCAACATTTAGAAGAATAGCTAAATAATTTAACTATAATTAGACAATTGAACGTTATGCATAAAAATTACATTTTCAAAAAACAGTGACAGGGAAATACAGTGTAATGCTAAGCTGCTTAATGAAAAAATAACAAAATAAATTGTAGCATAGGGACAATTTTATAAAAGTACAAACAAATAGGTCTAATGGGCAGAAGCAGCTGTAGGGTTTTTGCTGGGTGATGACTACTTAAAGGAAATTTATGATTTTGAAATGCTTTCAGTGAACAATATTTCTTCTATATACTTTAATGTTATTAATTTTTAATGATTATAGTCCAAAGGCTTCTTTAGAAAAGGCTCTTCTTTCCTCTCAGAATTAGAATCACGAAAAGGGTTTTGAATATAAATGTTTAACATTCTAATCAGGCAAATTCTATTTACAGAACTTTTAATCCTTGCAGTGTAGAAGCGTTGCCTATATGACATATAATTTTGGCCCTTTGCAGCACTGAGATGTACCATAGAAATTTTGTAGTATCATAGAAATAACAACTTCAGCTGCAAGTCACAGAATTACTATTTACAGCAACTTCAAAAATATAGGTTCATTTTTCTTAAAATTAATCTACAAGTAAGTGGTTCCTACATGGTGGTTCTACAACTCAACACATCAGAACCAGTATTCGTGTAATTTTTTTGTTTTTTTCTTTCCTGGTTACAAGATTACCTCTGCAGCTCCAGCTCCAGGAATCACATCCACATTCCAGGGAAGAAAAAAGGAAAGAGGGAGGGACTGCACTAGTCCAAATAAAAGCTTTCTAAGATGCACCCTTTATCAAACCCATCAAACTTTCACTCGTACCCCATGGGACAGAGCTCAGAGCTGGGGGCCAAGGTAAAAGAATATTTGGCTCTGAGCCTCTACAGTGGGAAATGGCAATGGAGAAGCTAATTGGTATGACCTCCGGGTAGTCAGTAGACCACTGTGAGAGAACATTCTTGTAATGGTTAATACGACGTGTAGCCATCAGTTTGCTGTTAAGATTTGAGAGTTAATATGAAGAAATAATATGAAGAAATAATTTTTTTAAGTCTCTGTACTATCTCTGCCAAATTCTATCTTAGGAAAGGGCACATTACATATGTTATATATCTTAGGACTTCATAATTAACAGGAGCTTTCAAAATTTAGAAAATACCATGCCTTGCCATTAGCATGCAGGGTTAGCACAGCACTGATGCCTCTTCAGTATGGCTATTCTTTCTCCATTCTACCAGTCTAAGCACCAACCTAGATGTGCCCTAAGGTAATTACTATCATCCAAACCATCACTTTGGTATTGTCCTTCCTATCCTTCCCAAGGAAGGAAACCAAATGAACTCCTAAACTCAAAGAAAGGATTTGGTTTCACTACAAGGGCATCTGCTTCAAGTACCAAGTTAGTTTTAATGTCAAAAATGGCAGTTTGAAGAATATCTTAATCTATTCTACAGTTCAGGAAGGCATTAGTGTTTTTCCTGCCTGTTATTGTGCTCAAGGGTCATAATCTATTAATTAAATTGCCTCATTATGTTACTCTGTCCCTTTAAATGTGAAATACTAATAAAAATAATATAAAATTATTTGTACCCATCAAAATATCCAAATCACACTGAATAAAATGAGTTTCTCAGCAGGTCTTGCCTAGACTCTCAACTCTTAAGTGTTTACTTTCTTTTGAATATTATGGCATCATTAGACAGAGTACTCTTTTGAATTAATGTGCTTACCTGATTCATTTAGATTACCTCTTCCAGGGAAGTCATTTGGTTTCATGAGACTGTGGAAGACTAGACAAAATAATAATAGCAGCGGCAGTAAAGTGGTAATGTACACATTATAATAAAAATGGTATGAGCAGTTTACTCACTTGAAATTTATTTACAATGTTCAGAATTTCAAATTTTTTAATTACAGAAGTGGAAAAGTCAAAACATGTTAGCTAACCAGCTACAAATTACCAAAGAAACTATTATCAATAACTACCATTAAAATCAAAGTTGTCAGGAAATGCATCCACCCTCCAACAGCCCACACAGGCTTCCATTCTCCATTTTCCTTTTTCCCTTTTTATGTGGTAGCTGTGACAACTTTGAGGGGCATACAAGTTCTTAAAAGAAACTGTCTTTGTGATTGTATTTTTAGAGTTCCAAGCTGAAAGGTTATCAGAAAAGAGACATGAAGCTTGGAGGCCTTGGACCTGACCTTGAATCCATCAGAGACAAAGTGAGTGTGATGTGCTTAGAGTGTTTTCAGCCTTGGATTTGCCCATCTTTTAGTAAAACTGTGTAAGATGCCCTGCAGAACTAAGTCCTAATTCAAATGTCTTAGTCTGAATAGAGACATTTCTGAAATAGCACTGGTAATAAAGACCCAGGCATTTCTTTTACTGTAAAATAAAACTACTTAGTTAATGTTGTTTTACGTATCCACCTTTTAGTTAGTTTTGAAGGCCCAAGCAGAAAAGCGAGATGTGCACATAGAAAGAGAGGTGTATGTTATATGGTTGTAGGTCTCTTCCAATAGAGTTTATCTTGGTAATTTTGAAGAGTGGCTACAGAAAAGACACTTAGGGTAAGAGTTTCCCAACCCATGAAAAGTACATCCACTTTATTCTCTTTCCACTAGTGAAAAGAGATCTTCATTTAATCTGTTTTAACTGCAGTTGCACTCAAGGCATAAAAAGAGAGTATAGTTCAAAGTTAGAAGCAAAAATGAAAATAAATTGGATAAATGCAACAAAGAAGAGGCTGAATGTAATTTAGCCACTGTTAAGGGAACACTGGGTGTGCGACTACAGTGATGTTCCTCCTCAGAGAAAGACTATTTCTAGGAGAAGTATCCATTTAACCATTGCACTGCCATCACCTTACGGGTGGTAATCCCATTCCCCCTATGTTGCTGATAGAACATGCCTAGTTCACTAAAATTAGTGTCACTTTAAATAGAGAACAGAGAGATCTAGCAGAAGCTGCAAGTCACCATAACTTTGTTTCTCTGAACAGATGCAGAAATTAATACAGCAAAAGGAATATGCAAAACAAGTTAAGGAGTACAACATGAAGACACTATCTATTATGTCAAAACCACAAACAATAAAAACTGAAAATAAATCTTCCATCCCTCGACAGAAGGTAAGCAATTATCTTTTCAATTAGAATTAAAAAGAAACCTATATTACCTTATAATTTAATGAATTCCCCCACATTTTTTGAACACAGGGGATGTTTTAGCTACTACCATTCCTGCAGCTACCCATCATTCACAGATGTGGATGTAAAAATGACATACATACATATGATGCTATAAGGTTAGACTTTTTTCTTTTCCTGAAGTTCATTATTGCCTTTAGTTCTTCTTCCAAGTACAGTATTCCAAGTTCATCACACATAAAAATTGAATTAAGGTGATTTCTTAATCAAGATTTGTAGTTTCTTCTATCAATTTCTTTCTCTACCAAAAATAAGTTTTAAGGAAATTAGTGTTTTCTTACTGTTTATGGGTGCCTATGTCAAAGAAAGTTCCTTCATTCTCTCAAGTTCATTCCCCTACATTTTTCCTCAGGGGTTATAATATACATTTCCTCTAACCAAGAAAAATGATTTCATAAAATACAGAATGTTCTCCCTCTCAGTCACAGACATCCAACTGTAAGTCATGATGTGAATGAAATATGTTCAATGGAGACATGAAGCTTTGCAGTGCAAGTTTCTGCCTCAGTCCCAATAAGGATATAGGACTCTTTGCATGAGGAACAATTGACTCTTTGGTGCCTTTAGGAATTTGTACTTCATGTTCTCTTTCACAGACCATCATATTTTTTATTTATTGCCTTTCTCCCTCAGACCTTGAAGATCTCAATTCACTTGCTTGAGTTTCCATGGTGCCACTTTTTCTTTTTTTCTCCAATCCATTATTTTTTCATGAAGAGATTCAAGGCAACGATACTGAGAAGTCTAGAGTTTTTCTGTTTTGAGAGGGTTTTTTTTTTTCCCTTCTAGCATCTAAATATATTATCCATTCTCATTTTAGCCATCAAGAAACTCTTGTTAAAATATAAAACAGATATGAAGGCAGATTTAGAAATATTTAGTGATCTCATTTTTATTGTAATGCTTTTCAGAACTGACATCACTCAGAAAAAAAAAGACTTCCTTTTTTCAGTATCTAGGTTTATACAGGTATAATAAAGAAAATAAAAAAATAATGTTTAACCTCTAATAAACACTTGCTAGAGTTCAAAGAGCCTAGGAACAAGAATAGTTGGTGTAATAATGGAGGCTCAGTTTTATATCAACTACAGTGATATCTTTGGTCTCAAGCTATAACAAATCTTCTTTGGATAGAAAGGTCTGTTAATATCTCCTTATTATAAGTTTGGTTTTAATAAGACTGCCAGAAGCTAAATAGATCAAACACGTGAGAAATCTATTTTCAAACACTTGAATAAAACTCAGTTTTATAAAGAAAACATCCGAAGGCATAACTGTATCATTTTCAACTCTTTTTTTTCACAGCTAATTCTTATGTGACTAATTTATTTTGTTTAAACTGTTCATTATACTGCATTATTTGCATTTTCCATTTGATCTCCATTTCCATCCCTGTCTTAATACATTATTGTAGCAATATTCTTCATTTATATTATCAATAAACATTTCCTAAGACTAGATTAATATAAGGAATCCAGGGCTCACTTCCCATTTCAAATAAAATTTTATCTTTATGCTTTCAGGCTTTGGAATATGCTAAGACAATCCCAAAACCCAAACCTTTAAATCTGACTGATCAAATGTCAAAGGAAAAGAAAAATACAACCTATGCCAGAAAAGAAGACACTTTACCTGAAATCTCACTGCTGGAAATACTGCAGAGCAGACACGAAAGAGAAAAACAAGCTGTAGCTGCTTTCAAAGTCCTTCACATTGTATAGACAGATGTGTAAGAGACCAAAAACACCCAGGAAAAGGACATGGAGAAAAGAAACTCCAACCAAACTCTCTGCATTGAGAGTGATGACCTATTACCATCATCAGATTTGAGTCCATATTTGCTTTGTGTAGGATTTAAAATATGGGGCCCTATTATATTATGGTGTCATATTTTATTTCCTAGGAAAAATTCTTTTGAATTATTTGTTTACAAATAAGTTAGAATTGGAGCTAAATTAGAGCTGGGGAATAAAGTCTTTTGGTTTTATATTTGATCTTTTGGTTTCTTAAACAATCTCTACCCTTCCTTAGCATAATGAAAACCTTGAAGTTATCCAGAAATAAGTTTATTGACTTGTATTTCTCTCTCTTACCTTCCTAACAAGAGAGGAAAAAAGTATAAACATTTCGGTTGCTGCTAAAATAAACTCATATTGGACTAATCACCAGTATATTTTGAGATACCATTTTCAAAATATTTCTAAAATGTTTAAATTTAGCCAAAGGTTTACATGTAAATATGAAAGAAGTGAAGGTACACTAGATGTGCCTACTCATGTAGAACACATCTCAATGTTGTCCTAACAGAGAAATCAAGGATTATTAGAAATCCTCCAAGTCCAGAAACACCCAACTCAAGCAACTCTGAGAGCCACACTTTCTCAAAACTACTTCCTCCAAGTGTGTAAATTTGCTGGGCATCTTGCCATCATAAATATCTTAAAATACTATTGAATGTGTGCTTTTACACTCAAAAGAGAAATAGATAATACAAAAGCATTTTATAGCTTACCACTGAATGTCAATATCGATTTTTTTTTTTACTTTTTTAATCTTTTGAAATCGAATAAACATTATAAAATTCTCAGGTCTTAAAATAATACTGGATTTTTTCTTCCTTACTTGCCTGTACCCTTAGATGGCTATATCCAGAAATGGACAATTTTAACAATAATTTGGAATCGATCTATTTATCTACACAGGTGGCATAAGGAACTATGATTTACTCCTATGTCGTATACATTTTACATATGTCATGATGTAGTATAAAAGCTTCTCCTTAAAACTGGAAACAATTGTAAGTCTGGGAAGATGACAAGTATCTGAAGATAAATAGTAAACTGATGAATCACATTTCAGTGCTCTTTGGAAAATCATATCATATGTGAAGTTAGTTCAGGAAAATCACAGCTCAAGCTGCTCCTAAAATATATTTGTAAAAGAGGAACCTTTAGGGTACATGGTGAAGACTTTTCTAAGAAACGTAATGTGGAATGATGTTTTGAAAGACCTTAAATTTAAACTTACTCTGGAAGATAAAAGAATGCATGTAGAGACACTTCCATATTTTTGCATTAAAGTAATAGGGTAATTTTTTAAATATTCCATTTCTATTAGAGTATCTTAAAAGAATTTAGAGATTGAAATGGGTTTATCTTGTCTAACTGCCAATTTTTCATTAGCGAAAATGGAGATCAAGAAAGGATAAGCTACTCTGAGGTCCATCAGCCCTACTGAGAGTAATGAGAGAGTAGCCAGGTCTAAACTCTGATCTTTCAACACCAAGGACAGCACTCTTTGATTATTTGCTTGTGGAGAAGTAGTTCTTGTTTTACTGTGTGGGCAAGGAGCATATAGTTGTTATAAATTTTAATTTGGGACCTAAACTTCCATAATCAAGTTCCATATTCAGAAATATGCCTTATTATGTATCTTGTCATATTTTTAACATGTACAATCTGGCAACTTCATTGCTACACTGATAAAGTTCTAAGAGATATGTATAAAGCAACTCCAATGTGGACAGATAAAAGAGACAACATTTTAATTTTCTTCAGAACATTTAAAAACCCATAACGATTTCTCTATTAGCCTAAACATTGTTAAGTCTTTAACTATCAAGACCCTGTACTTAGTTGAAGCCAGTTAAATAGTTCAGTTGTTGTCAAGCAACATTTCACAGAATTTTCACCCGCAAAGCAAGCCTTTACCATCTAGTCTATAATACTACAGAACATCAAAATTCTTAGTATACAAACACTAAAAGTGACATCTAAAATGACTTTGGCTAAAGAACATAAAGTTTGGGGTTGGAATCGAAGAATGAATCAATCTAGACCTTCATCTGGCCCCCAGTCATCTCACAATGGTAAGATCCAGCAGAAAGTCACTAAGCTATCACAATACTAAAACAGGTTAGAGATCCTGCAAAAACAGCAAATGACACTTTTTGCTCCTCTTTTAAAGTAAATTATACAAATAATAATATTGATCTTTCATAGACCCAAGTGGGTCAGTGATCAATTCTTACAGTATTTCTGTTTCAAATATTTAAGAAGTAAAAACAATCTCCCTATTAGAGAGCAAGGGACTTTTAACTTGCGTGATATAATGATGGAGGGTCCATATTTGACCAGATGTTATATATGCCATTGAAAGACAGTGCCTAATTTGCCTAATCACTATGAACTGGGATAAATAAAGGACCTTTAAACCACCTATTGTCTCTGATTATAGCCTCTTTTTTATGGTATTTTTTTCATCTTGAGTTTCCAACAAGAGTTTCCTCTTAGAGCTTTTTTACAAGTAGCTGAATTTAATGACAGCTGTCTTCATGATAGTGTTTTGTATAGTAAGGAGTCTCTTGGGAGAAACTAACTCCAGAAAAGACAATATTGAGGAGCAAAATAAAAGGTAAGCCCAGCCAAGTCACCAATGCCTAATGGTTCCAATTGGGTCCTTATTATTGGTTAATGAATCATTGTCAAAACATCACAGCAAGCATAAGCATGCACAGCCTAGTCTATAGTGAGAAAATGACTCTTCATCCCAATAATTATTACCTGGGAGTTGTTTGAAAACACATCTAGTAATTATAACAACATTAGAGCTAATTGAGAACTTTGAGTTGATAGCAAATGGTCTACAATAGCAGACTAGATAAACGCAGGGGTGGGGGATCCCTTTTAATTACTTATTGAAAAATAGCAGAAAGTGAATTAAATTTGGATAGTCTGCAGATATCAGGGAAAATTTAGCTAATTCTCTCCTAGCTGTGCTTCAAAACATATGTTATTATTTTATTAGACATAGCATTTGAAAATATAAAGTTCTTAAGGAAAAAATCAAAGTGCTCTCCTAAAGACATCTTTTTTAAAGATTCCTCTTTCCTATTAGAGGAAGAACATTAAATAAGTATTTCATCCAGCTCTCAAGTATCCATAGGATGACTATACAACTTCTCCCTAATGCTAAGTGCGTTTTCATAACTTCTATTCCTAATGGGTAAAAAACAGAGACAAAAAGACACACAAATACTCCATTTGCCTTTTTAGTTGTTTTTCCAGTGAGAAAAAGATTTAAAACAGTAGCGTAATTTTTTTTTTAAATATTGTGAATTTTGTTTGTTCATAATGTCTCATTCCTCCTCTATCCCTGATAAGTTGTTTTCATTGCCAAACTCATATACTAGAAAAGCAAAATAAAGGAGAAATACACACTCTAATAAAAATTTTATTTAGATATTTGTTCTACTTTTTAAAATATACTGAAGTAAGGTCTCAGCATAGTTAAAAATCTCATATTCAGAATTGTCACCTCACCCCACTGCCTGCAGACTACGTACAGTATTTGTTTCTGCTCTCCCTATAGCTTTATTAAGAAAAACCACGTGGCTTTCTCACAAAGTACTGAGAAAATGAATTGTTTCAATTTTCTAAGCAAACATTTGATCGACAGAAAGCAAAGGTTTTGGACGGCATATTTTTCACTTATTTATTTACTTATTACCCAGTCTTAAAGATTTCTATTCTTCATGTTTGGTTACTTAATTTTGGCTCAACGAAATACTTGAAAAATTGGGCTTTCCCAAAATGTTATGAAAACATCACATTGCAAGAAGCAAAGTAAACAGATTTTTCAGCTCTTACTACCTCTCAATAAAGGGGTTCTTAGGTTATTATGAAGAGAGGAAAAAAGAATTTGGCGGGCAGGGTTTCTCTCCCTGGCTGCCTCTCCATTGCCCTTTCACTTTCCTTGCAAACCCAAGCAATGTAAGTAATTAATTTTCAATAAGCTGAACAAATGGTCTGCATTATATAGCCTAACAGGTTGAGAGGATTACAATGACACGAGCATTTCAAAAAAATATATTTAGTGAAGCCTTGAAAATATCTTTGAAGATTTTATAAATGTCTTTTACTGAACTGACAGCTCATAGAGACCAGCCTAATACTGGGGCTGCTGGACTGGCTTCTCAGGGTATCCTCTGTCACCAGGGTTTCAGGCTTTTGCAGAAATACTTAAATAGTAGATATCCTCATGATGCAAATTTGACAGTGGAGAAAATAAACTTCAGAAATTTGAAGTCCAAACAGTATAATAAATTATCTTTTGGAAGCCACCTATATAAGACAAGAAAGTACAGAACAGATGAACATTCAGTGAATAAAACCAACATATATCTCTACACTAAATAATGGAAAATTTGTCTCCCAGATTAATCCTTATGCTTTCTTTTTTGCCATCCAGACTACTATCAAAGTCACTATCATGAAATCTGTTTGGCCTTGCCTCATATCTCCAACCTGCCACCTGGCAGTGATGTCTTTTCCCATTTCCTCTGTTTCCATACAATGGTGGCATTTTGAAGCAGAGCTGATGAGGTCCCTAAATTTGTTGTCTCTACTTAAAATTGATAATCTCCTATCATACAAACCTCAAGCACCTATTTTTAATGAAACCTTTAGATGAATATCAAAGAACTATTTAGTCATGTCTAATATTTTAATTAGATTATATTCTCAATTTAACCCATTAAACCTCCTTTGATGATCCCCATATTTAGTGTTTAGCCTCAGATGCACAAGGTAATGAATACTGGACCTTTTGATTTAATGAGAATTTCGGCTTTCAGCCTGCACCTCTTTGTATACCTTTTATTTTGCTGGCTATAGAATTCAGTTAATTGAAGGGGTCTCTTACCATCACACATTAAGGAGTA